TTTCCCTACTTCATGCGGGCTTCAAAAATCCCCGTGGGCTGCAGGGAAGCGGGAAGTGCCGGCTCGCTCTTAGCCGGAGCCCACCAAGTTCTCCAGCGGTTCTCCTCAGAGCGGAGCGTCAGTCGGAGTTTCGCAGCTGAGGCACCAGCCGCCGCCGCCTTCTGAGTTTCAGTGTCCAGAGGGGGGGCGGAGGGAATGGGACAACTTTGCTGACGGGTCCGCCTCCCTCCGGCGCGGCTGAGGCTGGCGGCTCGCGGGCTGCTGCGCATCTGCCAGAGATGCTGCCGGGCTAGAGGCGGCTGAGGCGGCGACAGCTCCCCGCGCGCGAGGGGGTTCCCGAGCGAGCCCCGCACAGCAGCCAGCCAGCCAGCCAGTCCCCGCGGCGCCTCCGATGGGGTTCTCTCCCGGAGCCTTTCTGCAGGGCTGAGCGCCGCGGCGAGGAAGCCACACCTGCCCATGGAGCTACCGAAGGGGCCGGGCGGTCTATAGCCGGAGCGGGGTGTCCGCAGCCCCGATCAACCCCCACCCCCACCCTCGTTCCAGTGCAAGCAACATGCTGCCCGCCTTGGCACAGACGGCGAGGCCCTTCGCTCCCGCTCCAGGGCTCCTTCCCTTCCCCCCACTCCTCCCCCTCCCCAAAAGGACAAGAGACGTGAACTTCCCCGGGGTTACTATGCAATTGCGACTGGTTTCTTGGCTCTTTATCATTGGGAACTTAATGGAATCCGTTGGCAGCCAGCAGGAGCAGCAGCAACAGCCCCCTTCCAGAGTCCGGCGGCAGGGAAGAAGTAAGTGCGCCTTTCCCCTCCTCCTCCTCCTCCTCCTCCTCCTGCTGCGTCTCTCGGAAGCGCTCGCTGGTCGCGGGATGCCGTCGCTGGGGAGAGGGCTGGAGTGCGCGCGCGGCCGAAAGGGCTTGGGAGGCTCCTCTCCAACGGGAATGAGGCTCCTTCCACTATTGCCACGCGATCCCCGCCATTCCAGAAGGGCAGGTCCGCGGTGCCAAAGCGGGGCTTAACGTCCAAAGAAGGAGTTCAGAATCCAGTTATTCCCGGGAAATTTGTGGGGGACCAGACAAAGATCCCGGGGGTGCCTTAAACGGGAAACTCACTTTAAATGTCCTCTCTCTCCTACCAAAGACTAGAAATGTAGCATTACTTTGGTCCCCCCCCCCGCCCATCATTTAGGTTTCAATAAGAATATCATTGTCTTTTGCATGTTCCCGCAAGTTCTTTAGGTTCCCACACACTGCAGGGATGGGACGGTGTGATGCGCAGCGGGATCCAACGAGTGGCTCTGATCTTTGGTTGGCAGAGTCAGGTCCGGCTCCGACTGAACTTAGTATTGGCAAAATGATACTCACTCTGAATTATTCTAGGTTGTATGTACCCAGTAAGAAGGATTTCCCATGGTCCGCAGTGTTTGAACCAGTACCTGTCCAAAGAGAAGAGCACTAGGGATTATTGGCCCTGGCCTTTAGCTCTTTTTAATCCTCCTGAAATGAAGAACTCACTCTCTTAAAAAAATATATCATACACATGTATTGTGGTTAAAACGAGCGAAAGTCATGACGATCCAGAAAAGCTGTAGCTAGATTGTAGCCCAGATTATCACTAGGCAGGGATCAGCTGATGATTTCCCTTTAAGTCCCATTAACGTATGTGCTGTTCCGGTGCTTTGACTTCGGCTGGAGCTGTCCTTATTATTATTATTATTATTTTAATGATACTTGCGCCCTGTTCTTCCTCGAAGAAGTTCAGAGGAATTTGTATGTGAGTCCCAGGTGGTATGCATCCAGGCAGAGCCAGACCTGCGGTCTTTGAGTTGGTGTGATCTGGTGTGCAACATAAACTGATATGGCTTGTAGTGTATGAGGCAATCCCACCCAGATAGGAAAAAAACTTAGATTTTCGGTTAGTTCACCATTTAATGAGCTCGGGGGAGGGGGCAGGCGGACGAGGTAAGCCTAGGAGAAAGGGTGGGGGTTCTGTTCGCTTATGGCACGGGTTCTGTTCAGCTCTCAATGCGTGGAAGTTCTGTTCAATTCTTGAAGTATTGAAGGAGAGAGTTCTAGCATTCTACACGGTTGTGCCCTCAGGTTTAACACGCGGGACTCACTTCGGGTCTTGGACGATGACAGGTTTTTAAGCAAAATCTTCTTCCCCCATCCAGTCTCCTAAGATACCCTTTCCGAGATAGCCTATATGCACACTGGGATGTTTCTCGGGTATTCCCTCCTCCCTGCCCTCTGGGCTTCCTTTTGCACTTTGTACTTTGTGAAAAGAGCTGTTTATTTCCCCTCTCGCTTGACAGCTCCGTCCTGATACAGAGCGGGAAATGTCAGAACACACAGCAGTCTGTATTCAATCAAAAAAAGTACACTGGGTTATTTCCTAGGTTTTGCCCAGCCTTCCCTTTCCGCACCTTGGCACGCGTATTCCTTGAAAGCTTTCTTTGTACTATTGGTCTCTGGGAAACAAGGTTTGATTCACCGAAGGTGCCCTGAAAATACAGCTTTTGCGTTGTGTATGTGAAGGAGAGGGATCTCTGGACATCCTAGAGTCCCCAGTATCGCCGAGGAAGGGGAGCGGGAAGGACGAGGGCCAGCGACCGATTTATTGCCCTTGGCGACGGAACAGGTCGTATTTTTCAGAGCCTCCCATCTCGCCTTTCGCTTAGGTAGCAGGGCAGGCGTACTCCCCAAGGAGGCACCTTTCCTATTCTGAAGTACCCAACTACGGCGGCCAGATCCTAGATGCGCCACGGGCACTAGTAGCAGGAAGAGGAGGATGCCTTTGAAAGGCCTTCTGGGACCTTCCTCGAGCTCCGTGGACCGTCAGCGCCACAGCTGCATGTGTCATCCCCGAGGCTCCGCCGGCATCGCCCTAGCTCTGAGTGCCGCTCTCCTCTGCCATGCGTCTGCCTGCGCGCGTGTGAAAGACAGAGGGAGATGGTTCACACACACGTTTATCGCTTGATGGCTACAAATAACGAGGACGAACGGGTGATTACAGGTCTAAGGTAGAAGATAGGTCTTTCAGATCTGTTTTTCAAGAGACTCAGCTCACCCGTTCAGCTGCCGGACATCAGGCAGGTGTGGAGAAATGACGTGTTATACCTGCTTAAGCGAACCAGCTGAAAGGAGAGAATCACCCTTCTCCTGCCTTCTGTCTGTAGGACAAGCCTACATCGCTGAAAGCAACGAGAGAGCCCCCCCCCCATGATGGATGTATGAGGAAGGAAAGCAACAACAGTTGCTTCTGTCGGTATTTTGTCTGGAAGGATCGATCCTGTGGGGAAGTGGGGTGAAAGATATTAGTGGAAGATATCCAAGGGAGTTTTCCTTTCTCCCGACTCCCGTCTGTTCGTGTCTTCCTACCCCCTAGTTTCCAATCGCTTGCATCGAAGCTCCAACGCCGTGAGAGGTGCGACCCCTGGCGTCTTGCACTGTAATACACGCACCGCCCTCCTCCTTGCAGGTGCGGTTGTTTTTTTTTCTCCCGGGGACGCTTTCTCAAGATTCAGGGCTGTGGGGAAATACAAGAGACAGAGCAACTGATTTGCCGGCACATGGTGGGAAGGCGCATCTCGTTTCGTCCCCAGCCGAAGCTTTGCCATTGACTTCAAAGGGAACAATCTCGGCCCTTAAACTTGTATTTGAAGAGAATAATAACAATAGTAATAATAAAAAAGGAGGGAGAAGACCAGGTGACAAAGCGCAAATGTTTGAACAGTAGGCTAGAGAATCAATTCTTATCCTCCCTACAAACAATTGGACAATGTAAATTATGCACAAGATTAACTTCAAAGGCAGATTCACCCTTCACTTGACTTCAGAGAGCCCTGGGTGCAGCTTTAGCATGTGATTGGGATCAGACTGCTATATCTGTGTTCTTTAGGAAACTAAATAAATACTTATAGTGGCAGCCCCCGGGGGCTTGGGGGCTGTAAAAGTGTATTGCTCATTATTCATCATTCTGCTGGTTTTTTAAAAAAACTATCCTGCCTCCCCTCCCTGCTAATAATTAAACAAATCAATAGCAATGTGCAATCTTGGACTCCTTGCGGAGTTTCCCTTCAAGTTTGCTTAGGCAGCCGGTTCATGATAGAATGTTGGGATCTGGATGTGGAGTCAATACCCAGTCCACTACCCCACATAGGATTTGAGGAAGGAGAAGACCTTGATGTGTCTCACAGGCTCCCAACTTCAGTTCAGGAGTTTTCATAGGAAAGGGAGGCAGGGTGTGTGTGAGAGAGGGCCAAGGTATATGAGAACAAAACTGGAGGAGAGCTGCAGCTGTACCTTTATCCCAAACCACTGCCAAATTTCATAGATTATTCCTCGGCTTTTCATTACTGGCATGCCAAAAACTACTTCAGGCATGCTCTCTGGGTTTTCAGAGTGCTGTTTGAAAAGCAGATTCCCCCCCCCCTTTACAACATACCACAAATTGCTATTGAAACTCCTTCAGATTCAGATTTTTTTTGTGACTGATGACTGAAAAGACTAGGACAGTCAAGCCACAACCAGTAGAATAACAGGGAAACAACGCTGACCACAGCACTCTGAAATGGTGATATGTGGTCAAGACATCCTCATCTAGTGGTAGTCAGCACGGAAAGGGATCTAAGCAGAACTGCAGTCTGCATTCATGGTGGTTTGGCAATCCCTGTGCAAACCAAAATGAACTTTCAGCTGTTACGTTTTGATGCTGTCCAAACAGATCAAGGTAACAATAAGCATGTGAATGAATTAGCTAAAATAAAACATGAATTAGCTAAAATAAAAACCATGAAAAAAATGTTCTCTCTCTTTGAATGGATATCTCCTTTTGTAGTCATGCCTATTCCAAAATGCAGGTACTGGAGGGCAATTCTGTTCTTTCAGAGATTTTAAAAAATATTATTTTCACTGGTTGGAAGGAAAAAGATATTTTGAGATCATTCAGATTCCAGGGAGGTAGCTGTATTAGTCTGCTGCAGCAAAAACGGACAAGAGTCCTGTGTCACCCTAAAGATTAACTCAAGTGGGCACTAGTTTTCATGAGGCAGAGTCCATTTTGTCATTCACTTCATGCATCATATGAAACGAGCTATGGCTCATGAATGCTTATGCTCCGGTACATTTGTAAGCTTTTAAGGTGTCACAAGACTCCTTTTTGTTTGGGACTGATTCAAAATATCTTGGGGTTCAGGCTGATAAATTACTTGCATTGATCTACTCCTTCTCCACTGAAATTAAGTGCAAATAAGGACCTCAGTGTTTGTTTATTGAGTTGTACATAGCACAAAGAATGACAAATTAAGTGTTTAGCGTTTTATTAATACTACTTAAGATTAACATATTATACTGTTTAGTCTTTGCAAGAGACATTCACTTCCTCAGAGTGTGGACCTACAAAGATAATGGCCAAATATGGCATTCAGTTTGTCACAAATAAGTATCATTTAGCAAGAAAAATTCAGGGGTTTTGCTGGATACTCTATACATGCAGATATTATCCCACTGTGAATACACAGAAAAGATAAATAGTGTGGCATACAGCTACCATACATACAAAAATTTACTAGAACCTTAACAAACACAGGAAAAATTTTCCTCCATTTTATGTACTTAAATTCACAAAGACTTTTGCAGTTACCAAGGGGTAGAAATTAAGTAGAAATTGGGATGGACATGTGTGTGTGTGTGTGTGTGTGTGTGTGTGTGTGTGAGAGAGAGAGAGAGAGAGAGAGAGAGAGAGAGAGAGAGAGAGAGAGAGAGATATTCCTGTCCATTTTGCATAGGTGA